CCTTTTAGCGATATCCCTTTCAAACATGAGTAGGAGACTGATAGTTGAGAAAGTCGTTGACTTGTAAGTCGTAGTCTGCGATTCTTGCCTTGGCAGAGTAAGATACATATGCTTTCAATTAATAGGTCGTGAGTTTGAATCCCTAACTCTATATGTTATTATACTAAAAAACTACTTTTTAGACTCATCATATATGTCCTAAACGAAAGAAAGTTATGGAAGAGAATCTTTAACTTTCATTTTTGCCCTCAACCTTTAAACACATATCTATTTTACCCTTCAAATTTTTACGAGAGACAAGACTGTTTAAGTTAAAAGTATCTGTTGAGAGAATTAATCCAAAAGAGTTGTGATCATTCGATGAAACAAGTATTTAATCAAAAAGAGTTATGACTGTTCGAGTGAAAAAGTGTTGAATATTCATATTTTTAAATATTGGATATCTAAAAATGTTAAAATCGTTGTACATAAGAATAAAAGATTCAAATAAAGAATAAGTTGATAGTACTCACATTCTAACTTGTTAGACACACATATATATAATTTTGTTAAATTCAAATGAATCTATATATCTATAGATATGTAGTTAGACTAGTAATCAAATTATTAAATCTAAGTCTACTTCATTAGATCTTTTCTAGTAACTAGGATTGGATTTTGACTTACATTTTCTCTAAATTGATTGTCTTTTTCCCAAAACACGACTAAAAACAACGTTTTTTCTTTCCTATATATTTATTTGTACCATTGAAAATTTTAGGAAAAAAATCAGAATCACGTAGTTGGTTCGTTAATTAATGATATTTGGGTAGGAAGCAGAAAATAAATTCTCAATTATAACACGTGGCTGTATAGATATAGTACATAATCACCTGATGTTTTGTAGAATTTAAAGATGAGAATAGTAGGTTGGAGAAAAAATACTAACATTACACGTGGACCAGTCAACTCAGCTCAATAAAGTCAAGTTCGTCCAACCAGTTTAAGGGAGAACATCGACCTACCACATAGGTCGAGTTGAAGGCCGAACCAACTAGAGAATTGCCCAAGTATTCTCCAATCGACTTGAGGACACCGACTTGGGGTCCGACAGCCCATAACTATCAGTCGGAGTGATTCCAACGACCTTGTCTCTTTTCGGAGTTGATTTCCACTATGCCGCTCTTGAGCTTAGACTTCGCTATGCCCTTTCTGCAGGCTCTTCATAATTAATAGCGGTTGTTGCTCTTGATTCAACCTGCTGCAATGGGGCAAGGTGTGGCGACATAGAGAGGCATGACGACGACCACCTGTGATGGGCAAAGTAAGGATGGACAGCGAGGGGAAGAAAAACCGTGTGGGGGAGGGGAAGGTTGCCGAGAAAAATCACAAGGGTGGGAGGAGACAAAAACGATTTAGGGCTTTTAAAAAGCTCTATCCCGACGAAACATATATTTCGTCAGCATAGGGTATATTTCTCGAAGAAATGTATATTGCGTTGGGAATAATGTTTATCTTGACGAAAATAGAATTCATCAAGCTAGGGTGCTTATACCGATGAAATGAAATTAGTAAGGTTAGTGGCAATGAATTTTTATTTCATCGCCATAAGTACGTTTTTTCGATGATTCGTTTTATGTCAAGAAAATATGATTTTCTTGCAGTGTCCACTCATTCAGGTATGCTATTTTGTCTGACTACGACTTACAATAGCTCAAACCAGCACTAACTTGAGTTTTGGAGTATTTATTCCCTCTATGTAAGTCACTTCTCAAGTAGCTCACTCCTGTTCGATGTAGGCCGATTTATCCATCTCGACATAATTCAACACTAACACAATATAATTTTTAAATCTAAACTACTTGTGATTCTAATTGAGGATGTGATAATATTAACTTATTGTTGAATGATGATTGACTTATTCTCTTTAAAAATCTATTTTTGTTGTAAAAAAATATTTTTTAAAATAAAAATATTTATGTAAAGTCCGCTCTGTTGAAAAACATACGTGTGAGTTATAGATATTTTTATGATTTCACACTCTTAACATAATTTGACTTGATATGTGTACAATATTAATTTGTCAATTTGAAGAAAAAAAAACCAAAAATATCTACCAGTATATGAATACAATTTTCAAATATCTAAGATAGGTAAAAATATGACTATCCAAATTATAAGTAGCACAATCGATGAATAAATTTGATGAAATGTGAATCATAAAGTAATGTTTATATACAACATCGTACACATGTTAAAAATATTGTATGAAACATTTTATAGCGCACATTATATATCATACACGTATATGTATTAGATTTTTTTTTTTTTTTTTGACAGAATATATGTATTAGAATCTAACAGATATAACATAAGTTGGAACATGACAACAAACATCCACCGTATATATTTGTTGAGAAACATACCCGACACTCGATTATGATTTATACTCTTATTTTTAATATCTTTTCATTTTTTCTTTATTAGCCGTTTCTTGAGCAATTAAATTTGACTTTATGAGTGTAGTGTTTGGGAATCGGGAACTGCGAATTGGGAATTCCTCGAGTTTCATAAAAAGGGAGAAATCCAAAATTCCTAATTTCTGTACTTTTTCCAAATTCTTATTCTACGAATAATGTAAAAATACAGATATATATATATATATAAATGAGAACGGAAAAAACGGTCGATTCCCTCGCATAGGGATCCGTACGGACGTGGGAAGCCGTCCACGTGGAAAAGGCGCCCTTTTCTTAAACGAAGTACCGAAGTTACCCCTCCCGATATTCAATATTTACAGACGGTAGGCTTCTGATATGGATATGGATATGGAGCGGCAGTTACGGCACAATCCACGAGGCAGAAAAAACCAACGGCTGAGATTTCTTCAGGACACACAGATTGAGATTCCATTCTTTCAATATAGTCTGTGTTTCGTGGGAATCTAATCTATGATAGCCCTTTCCATTGGTCATCGGTGATCCTTCTTACTAAATTTAAAGTTACCTTATAAATTTAATATATCCAATCCACTCTTTGAATATAATTTTTTATCTAGTACAAGTAAATTTAACCTCTAATTTCAAAATAATAAGCATCCTTATTTACTGAACTATCCTTATTTACTGAACTATGTTTAGGATTGATATTAGTTTGTTCAACTTATCGATCACGTAACTTCAATTTAATTAAAATTTATCATATTATTAATCTTTTATGTGTGGTGTTGACCATAGAGACTAAGTCGAATCATAATTCAAAATTAAAGACACAATAAATATTTTATTTAAAACTCTTTTAATGATTGTTCTATTATGATTCTTACTCCTAAACATCATATTTTAATTTTTAAATTTTACCTAAAAAATTTTTTTATCCCTTGTTAAAAAATTAATAATAAATTTGTAATAGGTAATATCAATATCTGTGGATAAAAATTTAAAGCCAAGTGAAAAAATGCAAGTGTCGAGTTTGTAGATAAATCTAAAATTTTGTTAAATAACAAGTAGAAAATTAAAGCGAAGTTAAAAGAACTAAAATATAATTATTTTAAGAAATATGAAAAATAAAATTATAATTGATCGTACCAAATAAATATAATTATCATTTCATCTGGACAATCAAATGGCGAAACATGTTGTTGATTAATGATTACCAACCATCCTCCGGGAGAAAATCAACCGCCCTCCATTTTTTTTTTCTTATTTTTGAGAGGGTTATTATCCAATCCACGTTTTTTGTTTATGTTTTTTAGGGGTAAAGAAAAGGAAGTGTACAAGTGTATAAATATGGGGATTTATTCCAATTTGCAATTCATCGTTTTTGTTGGCTTCCTGTGGTGTTGCAAGAATAACCACCTCCTAAACATAATCTTCCGCTTCCCCTTCCCCTCACAATTCCCTCCCTCGTCGCCACCGTTTTCTTGCTTTTCATTTCTGCATGGGAGCTTCCGCTTTCTGGTCCCAGATGTAGTGGAGCTTCCTTTCCCATTTCTTTGATTTCGACGCTCATTCTCGGACTCGCCTCTTTTTTTCTCTTCGGATTCAGGATTGATCTCTTTTTCTTGTTGCCCAAATCCAATACCATGACTGTTCAAGGTAACCATCTGATTTCTGCTTTATTTATTTCTCTGTTTTTTTTTTTTTTTTGGTTCATTCGATTCGTTGATTGGCGTTTTCTGGCTGTCGGTTGAGAGGTGATTTTCGTTTGCTTGCTCAATCGGAAACGGTTGGGGTTTTTTTTTTTTTTTTTTTTTGAATGTATACGGAACCGATTCTATATATATACCTATTTTGAATGTTTGTTCTCCCGTCTCGTTCCTGATTTTTGTTTTCCATCTCTGTTTTTCGCTGCAACCAAACGCTAGGGATTTGACATCACTGATGTGTGTTCTATTGTGTTTTATTTTTTCTGGTTAATGCAGTGGAGATTAAAGATCAAACAAAGGAAATTCTAGAAACGGATATCGAAGATGGTAATAGACTACAGTGATTTCGTTTTTTTTTTTTTAATTTTGTAGAATCACATTTACGCTGTCTTCCAAAATCAATTTTCAGAACCGAATAGCGAGAGAGAAATTAGTTGATGATAATTGATTCGATTCGATTCGATTTGATCGGTGATTCAGGTGTGGCTGGAAAACAGAGAAAGGAAATTGCAGAAACGGAAGCAGAACGGGGGACGATGATGATAAAGGGAGAAGCGGAAGCGGAATATTCAGGCGACGAACAATCGCCCAGGGGTGTGTTTGAGATCCAGATTTTGGGGACGGACTCAGACAAGAGCGAGAGCAGCAGTGGAGGCGGCGACGGAGACGGAGACGAAGACGGCGACGGAGGAGCCCTGTCGGTATTGGAGAAACACGTGGTGCCAGGGGCTCTTCTCCAGGAAGCGATCGGAATTCCGTGGAAGGCGATGATCGGTTGCATAAAGAAGAAGCCGCTTTGGAAATTGTCGACAATTCCTTTACTGACCGCCAGCTACGACATTTCCAGGAAAAATTTCAGGAAGAAATTGGCTCGGATTCGGAGCGCCGATGACGCAATCACTTGCGACGATATTCCATTTTGCAAACCTTCCTGGAGGAACTATGGCTTCTCCGAGCTCGCCGCCGCTACCAACAATTTCAGTCCAGGTACCAACACATTTATGAATCAATTTTAACACTAAATTAAAAAATATCTAGATATTAAGTGTTGAAATATATACTGGCCTTTCTTCTTAATCAGCTTCTTAATCTTTGAATCATACTGTTTCTGTTTTATTTTTCCCACTGTTTCTTTTTCTTTTTCCCGCGAGTCATGGCAGATTGTTGTTCGCTGGTTCTAATTTTTTTCTGAAATGCCATATCAGCGATTGAGTGAGACTACCGTAGACTTTCTTTTTCTCGTTTGAAGAAAGACGAGCTTTTTGACTTTAGCAGTAAAGGGTGGTCCAAATCTCTAAGGAAAGGAGAACAAATATGTCTAAATAAGTTAAATATGATTTAATATGATATTATTTTGCATCAGATTTTGAATTTAAATAATTGCAATTCGTTTCTTTTGTTAATATGATAATATTACAGGGGTAAGAGTATGCTAAAAATTACAGATGGAAATTTTATACACAATTATTGAGTCCAGCATATGAGTACAAATAGGTGATTAATTAGTTGAACTATGTTCATGCATGTTAACTTTTTTTATAAACTTTAAAAATATCTCTCAAAAAATTAATATGTACCCTTATTATTACTTGATCATATTCTCACGATGAAATCAAGAGTAGATTAAAATAAATACTTTGTTTTCTAAAAGTCTTCCACTGGTTGTTTATAATTAGAGGTTTGAATTATTTACAAAGGTAGGTTAGATATAAATAAATAACTATTACAAGTGTTAGGTATTTTAACTAAAATTCAGTCAGCAGCCTGTCGTAATCGTGTAGCTTTGGAAGTCAATGGCGTCGCAGGACTTTTCATTGAACTGTCAATTTCAAATTCATAAATATCAAAGTTCAGAAGTTGCCACTTCCGCTTTCTTTTTTCTTCAGTACTTGCAGCCTTTCGTAATCAACTAAAAGTCTAAAACCCAACCACTTTTCACACTGAATTGGACATTTATTTATGTTGTATTTATGGTTCTAATTATAATTATATGCTTCGAACTGTTCTCAGAAAACTTGCTTGGAAAAGGAGGGCAAGCAGAAGTTTACAAAGGTTGCTTAACCAATGGCCAAATTGTAGCGGTTAAAAGACTTATGAAAAAGGAGAAGGAAAACGAGGAAAGAACTGCCGATTTCTTATCGGAGCTCGGAATTATTGCTCATATAAACCACCCGAATGCTGCACGGTTGCTCGGGTTTGGAATTGATGGCGGCCTCTACCTTGTCCTTGAATTCTGTCCCCGTGGCAGCTTTGCCTCTGCCCTTTTCGGTTCGTCTCTCTCCCCTGCATGCATGAACTGTTGGAATTGATGTTATGAACAAATTTCCCCTCTTCTAGCAATAACATTTTAACATCAGTAGTAAGTTTAAATAATCGCACATTCAAAAAGCATGGCTTGGATTGAATTGGACAAGGAAAACAGAGTTTTTAAAACGAATCAAACCAAACCGTTATTATGATGATGATGGTGTACCAGTTGATTCAAGGCAATACTTCCCAATCAGGTTCGGAATCTCTGGAATGGAAGATTAGATTCAAGGTGGCTGTTGGTGTAGCAGAAGGATTAAACTATCTCCATCGTGAATGTCCAAGGCGCATCATTCACAGAGATATCAAAGCCTCTAACATTTTGCTGGCTGAAAACTGCGATCCGCTGGTAATGATTTTATCCGCAAGCAACGAGTTTCAGACATTCTTTCCATAATAATGAATGGTTTTCCCTGTTTTTGCAGATCTCTGATTTTGGATTAGCAAAGTGGCTGCCCCAAAATTGGGCTCACCATGTTGTCTTCCCCATCGAGGGTACATTCGGGTGAGTTATACTACATGATTTGATATTCGATTATAACTATTACATTCAGAACTATGAGTCCCTTATGCAACTTTTGATGGCCACAGATATTTGGCTCCCGAGTACTTTATGCATGGAATCATTGACGAGAAGACTGATGTATTCGCTTATGGAGTCTTGTTGCTTGAGCTCATAACTGGCCGCCGTGCAGTTGATTCAAGTAGACAAAGTCTTGTGATTTGGGTAATGATTTGCAACTCCACAGCTTTATTTAACATCCATACAAATAGGACTCCTAAGGCTTTAGTAATTGCAATTTTGTTGTAAGCTTATAAAGGGGTTTTCTTTGAGTAGGCAAAGCCATTACTTGATAGCAACAGCTTCAAGGAATTAACAGATCCAAAGTTAGGAGATGATTATGATCAAACTGAAATGAGACGAACCATGTTAGCAGCTTCAATGTGCATTAACCATTCATCATCATTGCGCCCGCATATGAACCGAGTAAGGGAACTGTCTTGTATTTCTCCATTTTTGCTCACTTTCTGTTCTGCCTTCATAGTTGACTTGAGTGACGTTGTGGGGAGTGTAGGTAGTACAGCTGCTGAAGGGTGAAGATGGACCGTTAGATCAAATAAAACACAAGTCTATGGACGTGGATAGGTCGCTCCTTTTGGAAGCCTGCGACCTCGAAGATTACACGTGTTCGAACTACCTCGACGACCTTAGTCGCCACAGGGAGCTCGTTTTGGAGTGAGGCCTTTTTATGTTTGTGTTGCTCTGCTGCCCTCAGAACTTTCTTGCTTGTTTGTGCTATAAGTTATATTTAAATTGATGCCTCTGCAATTGTGTCAAAGGCTGAGATTGACGTTCACACCAGTCAGCGTCTCTTTTCTATTCAATGGCTGTATCATGTCTCGAGGCTCTTCTTTTTTGTCAAGAAGTATATATAGAGATGATAGAAGGGCCTAAATATATATATAAATGTGCATTTTCAGAGGCAAAAGAAAAACAGATTTGTATATTTGCATTGTATGTTTACATCCATTTGACATAAAATAAGAAGCAAAGTTAGAAAGCAATTAACACATCCAGTTGCCATAAAATAATTAAGCACTAAAAGGAAAGACAAACGACAAAAGAAAACAACATTTAAGAAAGGAAAGCAAAGCAGCGTTTTACTTAATTTTTGTGGTACCTCTGAAAAAACCAGAAGAAGAGCCAGAAATCAATGGCCGGCGAAAGTGAAACCCTGCGCATAGCGATGTTTCCATGGCTGGCTTTGGGGCACCTCATCCCGTACCTGGAATTCGCGAAGCTGATCGGCGGACAGCGCCACCACGTGTTCTTCGTCTCCACCCCTCAAAACATCCGCCGCCTCATCCCCAGAGTGCCCTCCGATTTGGTTCCCTTCATCACCTTCGTCAACCTGCCCCTCCCTCCCGTCGCCGGCCTCCCCGACGGCGCCGAGGCCACCGCCGATCTCCCTTCTCACCTGGTTAAGTTCCTCAAAGTGTCGTATGATGAGCTCCGGCATCCCATGGCTGAGTTTCTCCGATCTTCCTCTCCCGACTGGATCCTCCATGATTTCGCTTCCTACTGGCTCTCTCCCATCGCCCGCCAACTCCGCATTAAGATTGGGTAATCATTTTTTATTTCTTTTAACACAAATATATGTATTAATCATCTCTGAATGTGAATTTTATGTCAATTTTCCCAAAAACAATTCCGTGTTGTAGATGAACCACTACCTTCAAACAATTTTAACACGATGTGGTGCTAAGTCATAAGATCTTGTAGTGTTGAAAAACGTTTTACTTTTGGACAATTAATTGTTAAACGTTTGAATTTAGTTTTTCCTCAAAAAAACGTTCATTCAATTCAAACATTTTAATTCTCTATGCATGTTCTTCGACAGCTACTTCAGCACTCTAAACCCGGCGTTTCACAGTTTCATGGGCCCAGTTTCAGGCATGAAGGGTGGCGAAGGGATCCGCAAAACTCCCCATGATTTCACCGTCACACCCACCTGGATCCCCTTCCCCACAACGGTGTCGTTTTCCTACTACGACATCAAGAAAATACTCGACAAGTCGTCGGAGAACGCCTCCGGCTCCGACAACGGCGTCTCCGACGTCCACCGCTTCGCCGACGTGATACAAGACTCCGACGTAATCGCAGTGAGAGGCTCTCGCGAATTCGAATCCGAATGGTTCCAAGTCCTCAACGAGATCTACCAAAAGCCCGTTTTCCCGGCCGGCCATTTCCCGACAACGGAACACGACCAAGGGGAAGAAACAGAGACATGGGAATTCATAAAAAACTGGCTGGACAATCAAAACAGAGGATCCGTCGTCTACGTCGCGTTCGGGACGGAGGCCAAGCCGACGAAGTCGGAGCTGACGGAGATAGCGCTGGGGTTAGAGCAATCGGAACTGCCGTTCTTCTGGGCTCTGAAGACCCGCCGGGGAGCGGCCGACGGCGAGGCGGTTCAGTTGCCGGAAGGATTTGAAGACCGAATTGGAGGGAGAGGGCTGGTTTTCAGGAATTGGGTTCCCCAGGTGAAGATCTTGGGGCACGAATCGGTGGGGGGATTTTTGTCCCATGGTGGATGGAGCTCGGTGGTGGAGGGAATTAAGAATGGGAAACCTCTGATTTTGGTTGGGTTTTATGGAGATCAGGGGATTAACACCAAGGTCGTGGCGGAGAAGAAGATGGGGCTCCCGATTCCGAGGGCGGAACAGGACGGCTGGTTTGGGAGAAATTCGGTGGCGGAATCGTTGAGGATGGTGATGGTGGAGGAACAGGGCAAGATTTACAGAGAGAAGATTATGGAAGCGAGGGCGTTGTTCGTCGATACAGAGATACAACAAAAGTATGTGGTTGAATTTCTGGAATATCTTAAGAATAATAAGCATTCTTGCCATGGATAAGGAAAATACTAGCTGACGTGTACTTCGTCAAACATTTAATCACGAGGTGAACAAGGTTCAACAAGTATTTTTACATGGATAAATAAAACGTTTTTTTAGTACATGGTATTTGAATTTAAATTCTCTATTTTAAGTGGCTAAACTAATTAAGACAAGTGAAACTAAATCTAGGCCCATCTTATAAGGTTGTAAGGTTTCTTGTTGGTTTCTAATTTGGTTAATAGATGTAAGTATCTTGAAATTATCGTTTCTTGTTTCTTCTTTTTTTTTTTTTTAAATATTCTCAAAACTGTATATAAAATTTAGAAACAACCAAAACTTTTTCTTTCGAGTTTCCATTTTCTATTTGTTCCAAAACATAAATAAAAATTTATTTTATCATTTTTGAATTCATGGATGTTGAAGTCATGCAATTCATCATTTCTTTTAAAAAAATGAAGAAACATAAACAAAAAAACAGAAATGTCGACAAATGAGCCTCAAGACTTTTTCCTTTTGATAACCTTCTTTATTTTTTACTTTTTTTTCTTGTTGTGCTACTAGTTGTTATTTTTCTTTTTACCTTTTTTTAAACAAAAATATGTTTGTTAACTATTTATTGTGCATTTGGTAAGTCAACGATAATAATAAAAAATTGGAAATGAAAACAGTTAGCTTCTCAAAAAACGAAAACAGTTACTTAAATTAAAAATAAGAAATAATAATGGGAAATGTTACCAAAGGAATTATAATTTAATGGCTTTAAAATTTAAGTCAAATTTTGTTTTTATTTTGAAATTTCGTTAACAATTTAAATGGAGTTGAATAATATATGTGGTTGTGTGGCATCGTTATTTAATCATATTTTGTAATTAAAAAACCATTCATAACTTCTGTAAAGAAAAGGGATGCTTCAAGGACGGATAATTGATAGGAAATTAAAAATGTCAAAACTCAAAAAGGTGATGAAAAAAGACAACTTACATAACATACTCATATTTCAATGTGTCAATCCAACCATCTCATTTCCTGCCCAAACAAAAATGGAGAAAATCATTTCAACCAACAAAAAAAAAATCAATGTCGATATCTCAATTTCATAAAAATATCAATAAAATATCGATATTCTTAAGAAGGTTATAAAAATAAAAAAATCGTAAAAATATTTAAATTAAGGAATATGCATGAGACCATTTTTAAATAAGTTAAAAATTATTAATCATTAATATTATGCTATTTTGTTCATTTTGTATGCAATATTAAGAAAATGATTATTTATCTCACGTTAAAGTTGAACCTATGAACACATGAAAATGTCGGGAAAAAAAACATGCAAACAAAAATTCTAATTCTAAATCACCTTCCTTTTTTGGGACCAAAAATGGTTTGTTAGAAGTTGTTCCTTTTCATGGATTTACAAGCTGATTACAAACTATAACATAATCCCAATAAAAGCCAAAAGATTTTTCCTCTTGTAAAAAAGCAGCAAACGAGCAAGAGAGGAAGAGGAGAGAAATGATGTGAGTTTCCCCTAACAGAGGATTGTCTAATTTGAACATAATTTATTTTGATATCAAACTGAGAAGTTGAAAACAAAACAACAACTTACATTCCCTCCATTAATTATGTAACAGTGAAGAAAAATGAAGAGTTGGGTATGCCATTTTTGTTGTTGTTGTTGACTGTTGACCCATTTTCAAGAAGATGAAAATAGAGTACCCAACCAACCTAGTTTTGCAATTGCTTCTCAACAAAAATTTGGTTTCCACGTTTGTTTTGGGTTCTCCCAACTTCCCAAGATCGAAGTCAAGAACAGGTCTTCGAAAAATGGAAATTTGGCGGGAATCTTTTTTTTTTTTAAGAAAGGAAAGATGTATTAACAAAATCAGTTTGTCATTAAGGCTACAAAGTTGTGAAAGTCGGTTTCAACACACCGACACAAAAAAACAGGAAAAATTGAAAGCCACACACGGGATCTCTCCAACCTGAGACTCTCCTTAGCCAGACAATGGGCTGATGAGTTCGACTCCCGAAAAACATGGTAAAAGGTGATCATTGAGAAATTGTCCGACATCATACGAATATCTGTCAGTCAGTTCACAATTTCATTTTACGGAAATCTTAAGTTTATAACATTTTTCATCTTTAATGACTATGCTCACTGCCAACATAAGCATAGTTCAAACAACTAAAATGTCGTAAGTTTAAATCTGTATCTTACATGTTATTCAATTAAAAGAGTACTTAGGTGCTAAAGTCACCATTTAATTTTTTTACATGAACAAGAGTAAAATACATGAAAGAGAGATTTTGGGTCATTGAGTGCTCGTTTGGTAACGTTCCTATTTATTGTTTATCGTTTCCAATTTGCTTAAGAAATCTAAGCATTTTGCAACTAACTTTGTTTCTTGTTTCTCTTTATTTGGGATCATTCTCACGATTGTATAAAAATTTTGGAAACAATCAAAACAAGTTTCTTCTTTTTTGTTCCAATTTCTACTTTGTCTCAAAACATTATTAAAAAGATTGTTTTATCATACTTGAATTAATTGATGTGTTGGAGTCATGCAATTCATTTTTATTCATTAAAAATGAAGAAACGGGAACAAGAAACAGAAACGTTATCAAACGAGCCCTGAGTTTCTCTGCTTCTCTCCTATATTGATTATTTGCTGTTTTTTTAAGACTTAAATCGATCCAAGTTTGAGTCGATATCCATAATTATGCATACATAACCTTTTAATTTGTACACATGTTTCCATCTTGGTAGCCACGTCAAGTTTATATTAAATCTTAAACTCATTTTTAATGGTACGGACTAAATTTTAGTCATTCTTGAAATACATCGACTGAATCGTCACTTTTAAAAGTTTGGGAATTAAAAATTAAATTACACGGACAAAATATATTTTTCCACTTAATTTTTTATTTTCGAAATAATAAAAGGTTGTGAGATTTTTATGATGAAAGAGATGCATATCAAAGTTGGAATAGAAGGAAAAAAATCAATGACCAATCAAGTGAGTTGTATTGTTGCTTAAAAAAAGTGAAGTTGTATTGTAAAATAACATACCTAAAATTTTAAATAGATCGTTTATTGTGCTCTAAAAATAAATAGCCATAATATGATAAAAGTATTATTTGAATTTTAGACATCGAGCATAAAAAAAATCTGTAAACAAATGGCCCTAAGGCCAAAATCATGCATAGGAAT